AGTTGAGAGATCGAAGGAAAGCGACAGATATAAAGAGATGCTTGTACTCCGACAACTATTTTTTCATTTAGATCTAACCGGATCTAACGTAGAAATATTTAGATCTGATATATCTATATTAGATTTAAATAGATCTACTTATCTTCTTCGTCGAAAACTCATCTCTTTCGCCATCGATGAGCATGAAATAAGGAGTTGGTACTCGGTGGTTGCCCGTGAATCCCAATTAATGGTGGTCGTTGATCGTCGGTAACTGTAAATTAGAAAGAGAAAGAAAGAAATGAAGGTATGGTTATGGTCGTCACCGATATAAGAGAAAGAGAGATACAAAGAAGAAGTAAGGTGTAACGAAACATGAGAAGATAAATGTGTATATGACTTTTGAATTTATCTAAAAGATTTTAGGATTAAATAGAATACATATTTTTTAAAAAGGACTTGTAGATAATTTATCCTTAACAAAAATAGTCATTTGTCAAATAGGCCTATTGTATATAACAAACGAATCATATTCATCGTGGTGTTTTATAAAACTGTTACAATAGATGCAAGTAATCGTCTCATATATGTTACCAATATTATGATGGGAGTCTATTGGGAGTAAATTTCAAAATTAATATTATAATAATCATATTTGTATTTTACAAATTATCTGTCATCTCATTTATCATTATTATACTAGTTTAATTAATTGTAGTTGTCATATGACTCATATATATTATCAATGCAGTGGTAGCATATAAAATAAAAAATATTTTTTTGCCAAATGACCATCATATGTAATAGTAATAAAAATTTATTAAACATAAAATAATTTTTGATAACCACATCTTTCATGAGTATGTGAAAAAAAGTAATTAGGAGATTTCCATTAACCTTACCTTGGGGGGCCACTACTGGGTAATATACATGTAAAGAATAGACAAACTATAAAGAATTGCAGAAAAATACATGTAAGAGATTTTAAACAATTGAAGAAAAATACATGTAAGAGATTTTTTTTGTGAAGTTTAGGAGGGACTAGGCTCGATTTTGAGATTTTCGAGGCTCAAAACTGATAATTAATTGATAAATTTTTGAGATCTTTCACATTTTTTTTTTCATTGAATGAAAAAAAAATTGAAGGTAAAAGACAAAAGATTTGTGTCAAAATTATAAAAAATACTTAATAATACATTACAACAACTAATAAGTATCGTTTGATTCTCGCTCTTCTTACATTTTTAGAAGCAAATAAATCAATCATACTTGCATAATATAATTTTTTTACAAAATCATTTGCAATAGATAACAATGCTAATTATTTTAAATGGGCCTTTCAATTTTTTAATGAGTCAATTTATTTTAAATTAGTTTGGGCCTTTCTTAATTTTTTGGGGAACTTACTGATAAGTCCCATGTACCAAGTTCAAAACCAGCTAATTCCAAAACAAAATACTTGCACCAATTCGTCCAATACATTTTTAATTATTACCAAAAAATCCTTTTTTTTTTTAAAAAAAATTTACAGACACTGTTCACATCTTACTACCGTAGGACTTCCGTCAAACGGTCGCCGGAGACTCGTCGGAATGTTCAACATCGCCGGGAAGTCGCCGGAGTATCACCGGGAAGTCGCCGGAGTTTCGCCGGAAGTTCGCCGGAGTGTTAAGAACGTTAATGGAAGTTGCCGGAATGTTCAGAACGTTCACTGGACGTTAAGAATATCACTGGAGGCTCACCGGAATGTCTAGAATATTGCCAGAAAAAAAAAGAATAAATGGATAAATTATAGCAAAAAAAAAAAACTAAATGTGCTAAATATTGATAAACTAAAAGGAAAAAAAATGAAACGACAAAAAACAGCAACAATGGGGAAAACATATGTTATTTTTCAATTTTTGTAAGGTTCAAGCAAATAATCTCTAAATAGTGATCAAACTGAAAAGTAAGTTTTGAAACTGTAAAATGTTACAGTTTCAAAACAAAAAATCTATTAAGCATTTATCCTTATTAATCAAACTGAAAAACATGTTATGAAACTGTAAAATTTTGTAGTTTTATACCATGATTCATTCCAGCACCAAAAAAATTTGAAACTGTAAAATTTTACAGTTTTCACCGCTTGTAACTAAAACTCGAAAACTACTTGTTCAGAATTCGAAAATTTTCTCCATTAGAACAGAAAAACAGAAGTGTATAGCAGAGAAAAAAAAAAAGAGATCGAAGGAGAAAGGCGCATGTAGAGAGAGGATTGTACTCCGGCAACTATTTTTTGTTTAGATCTAGCCAAATCTGATGTAGATCTACTCATATCTGATGTAGATCTGAGTAGATCTACATCAGATCTAAGTACATCCACTCATCTTCTTCGTCGGAAATATATCATCTTCTTCGTCGGAAATATATTATCTTCGTCGTCAGTGAGAGTGAAGTCACGAGTTGATTTCGATGGTTGGCGGTTATCAGTGAACCCTGATCAATGGAGAAAGACATGATCACCGGTCGTCGTCCATGACAAAGACGATGAGAGAAAAATGCAGAAAAAAAAAACGAGAGAGGAAGGGAAGCAAAAAACAGAGAGAGAGAGAGAGGAAAGGACTTTTGGGTGTACTCAAAAAGTTATGGGATTAAATGGTGTCCACATGTTCCACATGGGACCTGTGGGTAATTTCCCCAATTGGACTTAAAAACATACCTAATATATTACACTAAACTATAATAGGAGGGGCCCTTTTTTGGGTCTATTGTCAATGGATAACAATACTAATTTTTTTGAATGGGCCTCTCAATTTTTGAATATGTCAACTTATTTTAAGTTAGTTTGGGCCTTCTTCAATTTTTTTTTTTTTTCTTAAAATTGGACTTCAAACATAGCTAATATACTACACTAAATTATAATAGGAGGGGATCCCTTTTTTTAGTCTATTTTGAGGGGTCCTAGGTCATAGCCTAGTGGGCCTATGCCTAGTGTCACGTCCTGCCAAATTACCTGGATAGAATTGCCTACCAAAAGAAAGTCTCATGGAAGGGAGGTTAATGGAATACTCTGGAAGCTCCTTGAAGACTTTGAGAAAATATGAGAATATGGTACATAGTGCTATAATGTACACAGAAGCTTCTAGAACTTCTTAGAGTTTTGAAGAGTATTGTACATACTTGTACATATTTGTAGATCCTTTTAGATACGTATATTCTAGAATAGTTCTAGAATAGTCTACTAAGATGTAGTAGGAGGAAGTGTCTAGAACACTCTCCACCCTTATAGTTCTAGAGTACTCTTTGTAGCCTATAAAAGGGGGAGGGCCTCATTTGCCTAAACCATCCAAGTGAAATCCAAAGCATTCAAGCAATACAAGCAAGTATTCTCCAAGAACTCTCTCTCTAACTTTTCCTAAGCTTTTTGTTGTGTGTGAATCTTTCCTAGCTCTCTTCCAAGAAGACTTACTTAGGTGCAAGTAAGACGTGCATAAGCATCTAAGACCGCATGGTTTGCTTGAAAAAATCAAGGCTGTGACACTAGGGCCGGCCTGGGAGGGGCCATAGCGCTTATTGTACCCCTAGTCTGTCAATGGATAATTTTAATGACAATTGCAGTAAAATAGTATTAACATCAAATATTTATTTTTTTTTCATAATTTTATTTGTGAATAATTTTTTTTTTAAAAAAAAATAAACAAACAAACACACAAATAAATAAATAAATAAACCCTAAATATTTATGACAATCCTACCCTCAAATGTTAACAAGGCACTCCTTTTGCTCATGTCGAAATTACCCTTCATATTAGGGTGATCCATTGACCATGGATATTAATGCCTTTTCAGTAAATAGTTATACACTGTTGTCATGCCTCAAGCATATCACAATCATGATAACGTCTTTTCAGTGAACAATTATTTGATGTCATCAATGAAATTTTCCTAATCAACCTCCTAATCATTTATTTGTATAACATGTATGGCCTTTTTGGCAAGAAATTAAAAGTAATTTGTTTTAACTTTTTTAATCTCTTTTCAGTTACATCATCTATCTATTCTTTGACACTTTCTTTTTTTTTTTTAACAAAAAGAAAAACTAAAAACAACGAAAAATTTATTTTTTAACTTACTTTTTAAAATAACCCATATATGACATATTGTTTGTGGACATGGGAAGACTGTGAGATCTATTAGGTATTGTTTCGAGCTCATGTCGTTAATCTGAATCGCTTATATTGCAAAATTTCATCAAACATATTATTAATGAAAAAAATTAGGTTAATCAAACATATGTAATTCTATGATCAAATTCTAACTTTTTAAAATACATTATTAAAATTATTCTAGTCATTTTTTCTTTTAAAAACAAATGTGGTCTCATTTTGAAATTTCTATTTAATTTAATTTTTCATAAATGATTTGTCCGACGAATCCTATAAAATAAAATTTCAAATCATTAATATAGGCTCAAGATAAGATTCCATAGGCCATCATAAAACCGTGCGGTGCCTATAAAGCACAACACGCTTCCAATTCCTTTTTTGGGGAACGGTTAAAGTTAAAACATTAATTCAAAGGCTTGTTTTGGAAACTTTGTTTTTGGAAACTAAGTTAAAAGCAAAAACTAAAAAATTAACTTTTAATCCGATTGTGAAAATTGGCCAAATAGTCAATTTCCAAATCTACCTTGAATATCTACACAAATGAATGATTGACTTGTGATTGTGCCAAATACAATAAGCCCCAAACAATTTTTTGGTTTTTTGCAGGGTAGGGCTTGAATTCTGCAGCACTGCCAAAATTGATGAATCACTGACAAAACTCTCTCTCCCTCTCTCAAACCAGCTGTTCATGTTGGGGGCATTGCCCTAAAAAAACAAAAGCTCATGTGCAAAGAAGAAAGACTCCACGATCAGTGTTCTGTTTTCAAGCAGTGGAACAACGTGCGCTCACAAAACCCTACTAATGCACCACAATAATACAACTATAATCGTTAACCAACAGACCCAAAAAAACAAAAAAAAACTGAGTTAAATTTCTCAATGAACGATATGTTCCTTTTTTTCTCTTTCTATAAATTACCAGTTTTCATTTTTTCTGCCACAAATGATCCAGTCAATAAGAATTCAGATATAAACAGTCATGGAAAGAAAACATTTTCATTTCAAGTTTCCAAGAAACCGGTCATCCTGAGAATTGAATTCCGAACTTGGCTCAAATCCCTTCCCTTGAGAGTCCTCCCCTTTCCACTGCACAACGAGAATGCCATTTTTCCCTCGTAAATCCGCCGACCCAATATCACATGTGGCGGCACAACCTCACCTCCATCGTCGTCGTCGTCGTCGAAGAAATCCGATTCCACGCGCTGAAACCTTGAATTCCCGGAGACCTTTTCCGGAATATTCACAGGAACAGAATTATTTTTCTTATTCCTCTGCTTGGGCTTTGTATTTCTCGGAACCCGGGAATTCAAATGACCTGAAAAGCCACACTTATTAGTGTCGTCATGGTCATCCCCTTCAACATTTTCCGGGAAAATGACCTCGGATTCCTGGATTTCTTTTTCCATGGAAAAATGGAGTGGGAATTTAGAGGGACGAATGGGTTTGTAGAGTTTAATAGAGGATGAGGAATTGGAAGAAAGGAGAGGAATGGAGTGGGAATTTATAGGGAAGGCTGGGTTTGGTTTTTCCTCTTTTATCCATTCAAAGGAAAATGTAACGTATGGGTTTTAAATTTTCAAATAAGCAAATAATTAAATATTTTAATGAGTATGAGTCTATAAAATTATGAATCGACACTTTATGATACATTTAATTCTTTATTTGATAAAATATTTAACGTCTTTACTATTACCCCTTTTCAAAATAAACCATCAAGTACTCTCTCTCTACAACCTCCAAACTCACCCACATCCAGTACTCTCTCTTTCTCTAAAATTCATAGTTTTCTCTCTCTAAAACCCTCGCCATCAACGATGGCCGATCTGGCTTCTTCAACTCCTCCATTCTCAGTACAACAGCCGCTGCCGCTGAACTTCACGGTGGAACACAAAACCACACTTCTTTTCTCTCTCTCTCTCTCTCTCTTCTGTTTTCTTCGTGACTGTCGCGGCCACCGACTGTGAGGAAGCAACGGCGGGTTCAATCGCCCGTCGCCGGCGAGTTTATTTCTCAGTCCGGCGCTTACTTCAATCTGTTCGGTGAGGTTGTTTTCTTGATGTCAGTGTGCTAGGGTTCCAAATAACAATTCAATTGTATTCTCTTTTCTCTCTCTCTCTCTGTCTAGCTTGTATGCAACACATACATATACATATATTTGCATGCTGTATTAAATTATATGTAAATGTTGTCTCAAATTTATCTGTTTCATCGTTCTGTTCAAGCATATCCACGTTTAATTGTTGATTTCTCTCGGCTGCTACTGTCTCGGTTGCTACTGTCTCCACCACCACCGTTCCAAAATCATTGTCATTCGGCCACACCTGGTTCACCGTCGTATCTGGAAGCGCCATCTTCGCGAAGATTTGGACAAGGACGATCAGGTCACTTTCGATTTCGATGACGACATCGACGATGACGATGAGAACAAGGACGAAGAAGAGGAAGACGAGCGTGGGAAAGAGGAGAAGTTGAAGCTGCTACTCAAGCTTCAGAGCAAGACGGTGGTGGTGAGTCCACTCTGGGTCGGACTCAACGCGTGGAACACGAGCCTTCTGTCTCGGCTTCCTCGTCGGAGTAAGGCGATGCCGATAATCCACCGCCACTTCTGACCCGTCTCTCTCTCTCTCTCTCTCTCTCTCTCTCTCTGTGGATCTATACCAGTCCACCTTAATGTTTACGATCTAACCTCCATTAATGGCTACGTTTACTGGCTTGGCCTCGGAATCTACCACTCTCGAATCAGATCTGTAGTTTAAAATCGATTCGATTTTGCTTATTGTTTCATATAAATTTAAGAATTTCTGGTTTAGATCAGTAGTTGTTGGAAACCTAGGAGACGCCGGTGAGACTAAGATCACTCTTTCTCTCTCTCATCTGATTTTTTATTTATTTATTTTAATGTAAGTTTAGATCTGTTGATAATGATGAAATGAAGAAACATATTGCAACAGATTATTTTTTTTTTTAACAGGTGAGGAGGGGAGAGAGAGAGAGAGAGAGAGAGAGAGAGAGAGATTTGAGCAGATAAATTTTTTTTAACAGATAGGGTTTGGTTTGGTATTGCAACAGATAAATCTATCTGGCAATTGCACAGATAACTCTCTAATTTACAGATAGGTACATAGATAGATCAAAAAAAATTAAAATATGATTGTTATTTCAACGGATAAAATTGTTGATTTGGCCTGGTATTTCAGCCGATAGAAAAAAATGAAAATAAAATTGTACACATAATAAAATTTAGATAGATATTTGAATATATAGACAATAAATTTGAATAGATAGACAAAAAAAATTGAACAGATAATCAATGAAAAATCAACAAATAAAAAAAGAGTCCTAAATTAAGGTAAAATTGGAAATAAAATGTCATTTTAAAACAACAAAAGTACTTCTCACGAAACTATTGTATAAAGGGTGAACCTCTCACAAATAAAAAATATTTACTAGACCTAATCTTCTTAGATTAGATTTATCACCAATTTACGCTATATATAAATATACAATATTTGTTTTCCTTTTATAAATTAAGGCGACCAATAGAATATTTTCAATTCTATCTGCATTTTCTTACACTCAAATATGTAGATAAAGAATATTTAATTAGTGATAATATTATTAAATTTGTGTGATGATTGAAATTGATATGGTATTTAAAAAAATGGATCAAGCTGGTCTAGTCTGAAATCAAATTGAAGAATACTGTTTGATTTATGGAGTTCATTACGAGTTTAATTTCGATAATTTGAATCGTTTAATGTGTAAGGCTCGTTAGGTAATTCATTCCTTTCGTTAAGTAATTCATCCCTTCGAAAAAATAATGCTAATTGGGTATCAATAGCTACTTAATCTGAACATATTTTTGTCAATAATAAGTATAATTTTAAAAATAAATTATTAGCAAAAATGTGTTCTGATCAAGTAATTATTGATATCCTATTAATGTGATTTTTTGTAAGGATGTTATATTTGACGAGCCTTACACATTGAACGGTTTAGATCATCGAAATTGAATCCGTAGTGAGCTCCATGAACTCAAATAACACCATCCAATCTGAATAAAAAAATATATATATATATATATATATATATATTGGTGTTGTTGGTGTTGTGTTCCTTGTTGTTGTTGTGATTGAGAGTTATATATACTTTCGCTCCCTAAAAGCGAAAATCATGAATATGTCCGTGAGTACATACCCATATAGTATTTATTACATGCACAATATTAAAAAAAGAAAAAAAATGATATTTACACTCCATATTTCACTACTTCACTTTATTTTAAATAAATTGTGCCCAAGAAATCATAGGTAACATATGAATAGAGATTCTATTTATTATTGTTTTATCCATACGGGTAGTTATTTTGTCCCAAATCATGTTGGTGGTTGTGCAGGTGGTGTTTGGGAAGTTTGAGGCTTTGGTTTTTTTTTTGTTTTTTTTATAAAAAGACAAATTTTTTATAAAATTAAAAAAAATACATCCAAACAAAATATCACATCCAACTCCATAATCATTTCACTTTTTCTCTCACAAATATCACATCCAACCACAAAAAAATCCAACTATCTTCCCAAATACCAAAATTTGTTATCTAATAATATCCTATAACTAAAAAAAGTTACATAAAAACCTACTTCCCAAACAAAAGTAAGGTTTAAAACCTACACCAATGTATTGACAACAAAAGTAAGGTTTAAAACCATACTTTATATTTAAATTTGGGTAAGACTTGTTTTAAGTTTAGACAAATTTAAATTTGAGAGAATTGTTTGAACTTATGAGCCTCATCAAAGGTTCGTTTTTAACGATCTAAATAGATAATAATCATTACTTTTTGACCTATCACATTCGTCTCCAAAAAATAAATGTTCTACTTAAAAATAAAAATAAAACTTTTTCGTCCAATATTTTTAGAGAAACGTGAAAAAATAAAAAGATTATAATTATGAAATTAATCTAATTTTTTCACAAATGATATAAATTGATGGTCTCTACAAAATGAATAATTTGAGCCGTAAAAAACACTCTGACTGACCCCACGAGCCCAACAGTTATTTCGATCCATAAATTTAGTTACTACAACATTACTACAATTAATGCTACAATAAAAAAATTAAAAAAAAATGAAAATGTTAAAAAAATAAAATGCATAAACCTGATTTATTCTATGTGTTATTTGCATCATGTTAAATTTAAATTTTCACCAAATAATTTATTTTATGAATTATTTTCTGGACATAATTTCTAAGTTTGCTTTTGCTTTTGCTTTGTTTTGTTTTATTTTTTGATTATTTGTCCTCATCTTTATGTGTTTGTGTGAGTGATTTTCTGACCACACTGCAATCTTAGTATCCAGCTGGATAGCACCGGCAGAATAGATGGCACATGGCTGACCTGCAACAGAAAGAGAAGATTCCGGCGGTGGTTCGTCCACCCGGGAGCACTCTGACGATCAAGTCAGTATATCTCCCAAAGATAAATCAAGTGCTAAACTCACAAGCTTGAGTATCAAAAACATACCTTAGACCCATAGGGGTGTCTCTCTTTGATAGCCAACATAAACCTAGTCCCAATAGAAGCCCAACTTCTATGGAGTCAGGATTACTGTTAATCTTGGACTCCCAGTAAGATTAGGATAAACTCTCTAAGAGTCTTATCTTAATACAAACTGAAGTCTTCTCTCATTCTAGGACTCTTGCCCCTCATCCGCTTATTTCGGATTCCGATATCTTCGGAAGTAACCTCGGGCTATCCGAGATGACGTCGGCATAACAACCAGGACACGTGACACCTCGGCTGACACGTTGGCGTCACCTATATCCCCACAACTGCCCCCTAGGTTCTATTACCTCGACATTCTGAGGTGATGAAACCTACACTGTTCGCTCATCTGTGCCCCTCTGTCCGAGATCAAACTCGTCGACCTCAAAGTTCCCTGGACTTTACTGTCCACTTCTGTCAAGTATCAAGCTTCATACTTTCCAAGCTGCTCAAGATCACACCTCCTAGCCGAGGTTCTTGTTCCATTAATTCGTAAACTCTAAGAGCTTTGCAATTGCTCCACTCACATTCTTCAGTGGGTTCCCGACTTCCAGTTATCTATTTGACTCCGGCGATCTTTATATCGGCGTTCATTTCTCTTGGTAGGTTCATAAACTCTTTTATTAAGCTCAATCTTTCATAACTCTTCTGAATTCGTTTACTTGCCCTCTGTTGTCTTCTATTTTCGTCTGTTTTCAAGTTTTGAATTGTTTGAACGCCTGGCACTATTCTTGCCATATCCGCTTTCTGTTGCTAGCGTCGTATCTGTGTCATTACTTTCTTATTCTTCACATACTTACTTAGTGCATGTACACTTGGCTTTATTCTTAAACTTTGTCGTCTTCTTAACTCTGATTTTTCTCTTTTTTCATTCAATCCTCCGGCTTTTTCTCTTTCTAGCTCTTTTGCTTCCGTCATTGTTCCAAGCTTTCAAGCTCTGCAACTGTTTTCATTCCTCTCCTCCGGGGAAGCTTACGTCATTCTGTCATTTTTGCATCCGTTGTCAGACTTCGCCAATTCTCATTCCGGCTTCCCTCTTTCTAGTAAGCCATTGTTCCTTCTGGTTTATTTCTTGTTGCTTTCCAAGAAGCTCTGCTTCATTGTTAATCACCATTGTTGTTTTACCCGTTGTTTCCAAATCATCTTCTTGAATACACACTGTTCACACATCTGTTGATTTTTGCCACTGTTCTTGGCTTGACACACCTGTGCAATCTTTTTGTCTTGATTTCCTAATAGCTTCATCACTATTCTTGATTACGAATTACATTCATGTTTCTGTTTTCTGTGTCTTTTTCCAAATTCTTGCTTTCAATCCTTGCCTTCA